CTCCCCCTTCCTCCCGTCCTTTCTGTAAAAATCAGTGGGAAAAAATAAAGTCCCGGTGAATTCCAGGGTAGGTGAGAAAGGCTATATGTAATTGAGGTTACTAAGTAGGAGGGTAAATAACATATTGGGTGCATTTGTTGTAGGGACTATTGAGGTAAGGGAGTTTTGGTTCTCACCTGGGATTTGAGCAGCTTGGTGAAGGTAGAGGGTCTTCTTGGGTAGGGCTCTGGGGTATTAGGAGAGAGAGGCCTACAAGGGAAAAAGGGAGAGCATGTCTGAGGGAATAAAGGACATTCAGGTGGTGGTGGTACCTAGTTCTAAGCAAATCTTGGGGAACATTTGCTCTCAAGTAACATCTCTTTGAAGTAAGGAGAGAACAATTTCCAGGTAGAGGAAGTAAGTGTATATGGTTAAGGATCTTTCAAGGGAACCAGTCTGATTTAAATTTCAAGCTTTTAAAAATGTGACTGTGAACTGACATTATCTCCCTCCCCTCACAGACTCCCTTTAATTGTACCAAATAGCTTTAACCTTTTCTGGAAGTAGCACCATATGACTCAGGATTGACTGTTGCTGTTGTGCGTACAGAATGGAAGTCTAGAGGTGGCCAGTACGTGTATGCTTCTGGCGATAGGCCATTTGGTCCCTTTCATTTGCAGAAAATGAGGCAGGAGGCAGAGGCAAGCAAACATTGCCAGATTTCCCTGGGTCAACTTATTTTAGGAAGGGACAGCTCACATTGATACAAAAACTCTGAGGGCTAGAGCCTGGTGTCTTCAGCACTTCAGCAAGATTGCTCCCTGTACCCCTACTGCTGTCCAACCCTATGCCTGGCATGGAGTAAATGCTCAGTAAATACTTACTGAATAGAATTGATAGAAGACAACAGTGGTATCTTTTCCAAGAAGCTTAAGATGCTTCACTGCTTTAATTTTCCCTGCCCCTCTTCCAGTCTACAGAAGATAATTTCATTAAGTACTTCTAAGCATTTATATCATTTCTGTTCTGTATTGGCTTCTCTAAGGCATCCATCCCCTGGACAGTGTGCCCTGGTACTTTACTGTCTCACTGGAAACTACATATCCATTCAAGTCATAGCATTAAAGCAGGTGTGTTTCTTTTTGTTTCAACCACTTCTACCTGTACATACTGTTCAAATGGATGATTGGAAAAAGCTCTTTAGGGAGTACAATTAGAAGAACAAAAAAACTGTAGTTACTATTTCTGTCTGTCTGGGCCTTGTTCCTGCTGCTTCTGCTAGATAATGTGATGACTCATTAATAGATCTATTGAGTTTAATCAGTTTATTTTACATTATTGACAAGGTAGCTGTATTGTCGGATCAGAGACTGACATCATCTGACCGGAGTAAAGAAGAAAAGGGATGTTGTCATGGCCACTGTAGCATCATGTGATTTTTTTTTTTTTTTTGAGTATTTTAAGAGGAATTTGAAGGCATTTGCAGTCTAAATAAACTCTTGGAAATTTGCTATTAAATAACCTTTTGGAATAAGAGAAACAGGTGGAGGTCATTTTGTTCTTTTTGGTTGTTTCTCACAGGGAAACGTATAGACCCCAAGACAATTTCCGTTTCTCCTTACCTGTGCATCCAGTCTGGGCTTCTGGCCCTCCCACAGCGTGTTGCTTTAGAAGTTGCCAGGGTCCTTCACCAGCATCACACTAAAAGTGCCTTCCCCTCTATCAGGTTTAATTCTTCCCTAACTAGGCTATTTTCCCTGAAACACCATTGCTTTACTGTCAGTCCAGATTCATGACCTTAATCAAAAACTTCCTTTATCGGTATCTGTTTAAATTGCTCTAACGAGTTACCATTTGTCTGCTATGAAGGAGAAATTGAGTCTTTAAACAGAAATAAATGTATTCCATAGCAGTTGTTAGGCAGGATGGGATGTTTATCAAAATCCATAGTTTATTCTTCTGTATTTTTGTGCTGCTCACCTTGCCCACTATGGTTGGATCTACCCCTTGTGTGTTGTCACTGTCATTTCTAATTTTGACATGTTTGCCCTAGTGTTCTGTAGCCATGTAAAAAATTTGGCCAGTAGCTGGGAAACCTCTGATTCTTCTATAAAGTGAACCTGGGAAACCTCTGATTCTTCTATAAAGTGAACCTTTCTTCTTTAAAATGACGCACAGAGTAATGACCGCTATCATATCGAGAAGAAATCTTAAATAAAAACTCTAAATAATGTTTTGGGCTCTCTGGTAGGTTTTAGAAGGGGAGCTCTTGGAGAGGTAAATGGGAATGCCACCCAGCGTTGGCAAGTTTTTAATGAAACTAATGATTTTAATAGACTGACCTTATTACTCCCTTTAATTTATATTCTCATTACAAGAGTGTCTGTTCAGTGTTTGCTAAATTCTTATCAGTCTTGGGAGGCTAAAACTCCTCTTTAGTTTCGGTTGCAGCCACAACAGTTGTCTCCTTTTCATCTAAAAAGAGTGGCCTCAAAGGCTCAGGGGTAAAAATGAGTAGCGGCTGTGGTAGCCTGTGGACATTAGGACTAATCTGGGGAACTTTGTCTTAAATCATGTTAGGCTAAGAATTGACTTCAAATACCACATGAAGTAAAAGAGAAATAGGGTTAGTCTGTTTATCCATCAACTTCTTGATCTCACAAAGAAATGTCTAGTAGGATGGTATTTTAGCTCCATCAACCTCACTCTCAGAACCTGGACAGGGCAGCTGTACATTAGGTGACACCTGAGGAAGAGAAATGGAGTGGAAAGATCTTTATACCAGAGTCATCACTGATTTGCCTAATGAACCTTCCACCCAAATTTGTTTTTTTCTGTCATTTTGGTCCAGAAATCTTATAAAGAAAACAAAAGATCTCTCTCTGAGATCTGAGGGTGGCAGGAACCCTGCATGCTCAGGAATGATATTCATATCACTGATGGATGCCCATTAATGGGTCAAGCAAACCAACATTCAGTCAGCTCCCTAGAGCTGGACCAAGTGCACACTCTCCTTTTAGGCTACCAGGAGGATTTCCTAAGCTTTCCATAGATAGACCTATTAATCCCCAGACGGCCGGTGAAAGGAATAATAACTGATTTAACATTATAGCTTCTAGTTAGTCAGGACCCTGGAACCCTAGGCTTCCCCGAAGGAAACTAGGGTCTGAGCAGGCAGCTGCCCACATTCCGGGCACCACCTCTTTCTGCACTAAGCAGTCAGGTTGAAGGCATGGGCACAGCTGAGTAAAGAGAATCTGTGCCTTTGGAAGGGTGGTTCTTTAGCATGTGGGCACTGTTACAGGGCGTCTCTCTCTCCTCCTCGTGGGAGAGAGTAGATGAAAGGCCCAAGCTCAGTCTTCAGCATTCAGGAGGTTTTTTCCCTCAGATCTGCTGTCCTCTGAAGATTTCTCTGGAAAGGAACCGAACTTCCCAAGGCTTGGAATGATACTTTATTTCTCTCTCATTATTTTTTTAACCCTAATTTTCAAATGAATGTATTCTTATTTCTCCTATACAAAAGCAGAAAAACGCAAAACAAAATAAATATCACTTCTCAGTTTCCATGGTTACTCATTAATGTTCTGGGTCTTTCCTTCTGAGTGGCACTCTGGCATTCTGTGATATGTATTGCATTGGTCCACGTAAACAAGTCAGCTCCTGCCCTGGCTGGGTGACTTGGTTGTAGCGTCCTGTACACCAAAAGGTTGCAGGTTCGCTCTCCGGTCATGGCACGTAGGGGAAGCAACTGATCAATGTTTCTCTCTCTTTCCCTCCCCCTTCCTCCCTCCCTCCCTCTCTTTTCCTCCCTCGCCCCTCCTCATTCCTCTCAAATCAATTAAAAAACAACAACAAAAACCAAGTCAGCTCCTTATTAAGGGAATTGGATAGCCACCTTAAGGGGAAGGGGCAGATTTGGTGCCTCTCAACCAAAACTCCTTGCTAACTGCTTAGGAGCCAGGATTTTGTTTTTACGTTTATTCTGATTTTTAAAAACATGTTTATCTGCCTTTTCTTTCTTTTGTGAAATATTATGTCCTTAAAAAGTTTATATTTATATTAGCTATTAGATTAAGCTCTCTTAGGGTAGGATTGTTACTTTTGGATAGTACCTCATTGTGTATAGCATGGATCTTTTATAGAAAGATCCTGAACCAAAGTTGTCTGATCTGTTAAACAATATCAATATTTTGGACTCAGATCTAACACATTGCATATTTTAGCCTACTGGGGTGGTGGTGATAGGGGGCTAAATAATATAGTCTAGTAGGACTCAGTTCTCTTTTAGGATATAGGTATTCCATCCTCATGCTCAAACTTTTTGTTATTGTTTTACCTTAAAAAAATTTTTTTTTGAAGACTTCATTTTTTTTTTTTTCTAAGAGCAGTTTAAGGTTCACAGTAAAATTGAGGGGAAAGTACAAAAGGTATCTCCTACACCCCTGCCCCTACACATGTATAGCCTTTTCCATTATCAACATACCTCAGCAGAGTGGAACATGTGTTACAGTTGATGAGCCTACATTGACACATCGTTCACCCAGACCCCGTAGTTTACATTAGGGTTTTCTCTTGGTGTTGTGTACCCTTTAGGTTTGAACAAATGTAATGACATGTATCCTTATGTGTCTGCGGGCTGAATGTTTTACACTACTTGGACTTGGACTACTTGTGCAAGGTGGTGTAAAAGGAAATAATTTCTTAAAAATTTTTTTAAATTAATTTTTAGAGAGAGAAAGGGGGAGAGAGAGATTTATTGTTCAGCATAATTATGCATTAATTGGTTGGTTTTTGTATGTGCCCTGAGCAGGGATAGAACCATTGTCAAATGAATATGGAACCTTCGCATATTGGGATGTTGCTCTAACCAGCTGAGCTACTTGGCCAGGGCAAGAGGAAATATCTTAAGGAGCTGTACACTCAGTAGGTGCTTAGCAAATGTGGCAACTGGAGGAGAGTTGTTTAAATTCACTACAGTGAGCACTTAATTTCTGTTAAGTGGAAAGCCTCCGTCCAGGCATAGGAGATAGAAAGTTGACTGTGACACACTTCCTGATCTTCAGCAGTAACCCTGTTCAAATAACTGGCTCTCAGGCAGTGTGATAAATGCTGTGCTGATGGTGTGAATACTGGTGCTGCTGGAGCACAGTGGAAGGGAATTAGGCCTGGGGCTGTGGGGAAGGCTTCGCTCCCCTCAGATGTCAACCCTTAGCAGGTTTGTGTTCTCGTAGGGAAATGGACAGATCAGTACACAGGAGATAGGATGCATGTGGTCTCGCTCTTCTGTTCTTTTGACAATGTTTCTGGGTGATCTGTTCATTCTAATACATAGAGTAGAGGTTCCCAAATTTTCTTGGGTCTTGGACCCTTAGTACCACCCTAACTTTTTTCACCATGCTCCTAGGCCAAAAGAAATACTTAACAGTTTAGTTTATTAAGTGTTTAGGTCTAAATAATAAGCATTTATATCCTTATAACTAATAGATGTTTGAAAGAATAATACACATAAATTGAAAAATAGTTTATTTTATTCTTAAATAAGCACAATAACTTATTAATGAGATATGAATACTGTTGAGCAGGACATAACTTCTCAAGCCTTGGGTTCAGATTGTACACCACCACCCTAATTTCCTGTTCTGCATTTCTCCTTGCTTGCAATTTATACCATTTTCAATGAGAATATGCAGAAATGTAACCAAATTTTTAAGATACAGTCTATTTCCAAATTGGGGTAGGTTTGCCTTAGAAACTATCTGAGTAAAATTACATAGGGTTGAAATGGCTTCCAAGTTAAGAGATTCATATATCAATGAGAGGGAAAGAACCGGTCACAGTGAACATCTAGACTGTGGATCCTCCTGGTTTTGGCCAGGAGACAGGTAACCCACCACTCTATGACAGCTGCTAAGGTGGTCTCATTTGGAGTCCTTTGGCAGCAAGGTTGTTTACTATGGAACAGTGGCTTAGCTCACTCAGGCCACCAACTCTCTCCAGAAGCTCCTCTACTCTCCACCTCAGTGGTGCTGCTGCCTGAGCATCTCACTCTTCCTTGGCCTTCCTCTCTTTCCTCCTCTTCAGTTTTTCCTTCCTTCCCTTCCTTCCCCTCCCCCCCTCTGCCCCTTGTCCTCCCTGTGAGCCAGCTCTTCTCTGGGGCTGTGCTATAGGACCCACCCTCTTATCTATAAGTTTGAAGGACCGAGAAAAGAGAGGAGAGAAAAGAAAGGAAACTCGGAGATTAAACAACCAGAAACTGTTAGTCTAACAATCATATCTTCAATAAATACATTATATATTTAGCAAGGTCCTTTAAGTACATTATTTCATCTTCTAACAACCCTGTGAGGAAGGTACTACCATCCTTGTTTGTAGGGGAAGAAATTGAAAAGATGGGAAAAGAAAACATATTTTTGAGTCCCCATTGTATGTCAAGTAGCATTAGGAACTTTTAGTGACTTGCCCAAGATGACACAGTTAGTAAGAGGTAGAGAATACATTTGATCCTGGGTCATTTAATGAACTTTATGTGTGCAATGCATATATTAAATAGTAGTTGAATAAATGAAATTGAACTTGTAGAGGCTATTTGGGGCCATAAACTCACCTAAATATTTTTCTTTTTTCTAGTATCTACCACAAGCCTCAGTGGGTCTGACAGTGAGACCGAGGGAAAGCAACGCAGCTCTGATTCTTTCGATGATGCGTTCAAAGCAGACTCTCTCGTGGAGGGAACTTCTTCCCGCTATTCCATGTATAACAGCGTCTCCCAGAAGCTTATGGTATGTTGGCACTTTGGTTGGGTTTCTAAAGCTCCACCAGCAGGGTAAGAGAAGGGAATTTGTATTGATTGATATGAAAAGAAGAAATGCTAGGGCGTGAGTTTTTCCTTTGCTTTTCAGCTACTGAAATTTAGTAGAATGTGGCCCCCTTCTCAATAGAGGTATGGATCACATTGCAGTCATCCATGGGAAGTGGCTGCTCAGGCCTGCTTCTCCTGTACCGTCCAGAGCTGGGTCGCCCTTTGGTCTTCTGAGTAATGAATTCTTTTTATGAGCCTTTGTGAGCATACTTCCCTACACTTGGTTGTGTGTCGATGGGTAAAGTCTTCATGCTGTGATTTTTTTGCTCTAGTGAATGATCTAGAAAGAAATGACTAAAATCCTGCTCACTCCCAGGTGCCTAAAGTAAACTGGAGTAGGACAGTCTTCTGTATTGCTTCCAAAAGAAGTTCTTGTTCTCCTTCCCAGCTCCCATACACCACTGACATGTTCCAGGAAGGGAGGGAAATAGGAAGGCCTGCTTACTTTCCTCATTGTACTTGAGTGTATGTGCAAAGGTCAGAGAAATCCAAGTTTGCCTCCGTCTAGCTTCAGAAACATTATATGTGACTCCTCCATTTTCTGTTGGATTGATTTAAGAATGACTACTGCCTCTTTGAAGTCATCATCCAATTCTAGTTTGGGTGCCCTAAAGATTGGGGACGTGGAAGATGGGGAGGTTTGTGACTGAACCTCTGACTTGGGGAAAGATTTGTTGCTACTATAGGAATTCCATCCAGTTCTTGAGCTGCTAATGCCCCTTCCAGAGGGCATACAGACCCTCTAGGGGGAATCAGATCTTAGGATGGGAGTTCTTTTATTAGACAAGGGTCTTTGGGGTTTGGGATTTAGGTCTCTGTTTCTTTGGGTATATAAGTGGGCCCAGGGACTCTAGAGTTCAGTATGAGCTTATAGACAGTTGTGACATTTAAAAAGATTCTATCCAGGATCTTACAGTACCTCCCATACCTCGGTTTTATTATTATTATTTTTGATATATCTTTATTGATTTCAGAGAGAGGAAAGGAGAGGGAGACAGAGAGAAACATCAGTGATGAGAGAGTCATTGATTGACTGCCTCCTGCATGCCCCTGACTGGGGATCGAGCCTGCAGCCTGTGCATGTGCCCTGACTGGAAATTGAACCCCGATTGCCTGGATCCTAGGTCGACACTCAACCGCTGAGCCACGCCTGTCTGGGCCCTCGGCTTTAAATGAAGTGACTTTTCAGTTAATCTCTTGATTTGGACTTCTATAGGCCCTCACTGTCCTTCTGTAGGCCCTCACTGTCCTTCCATAGGCCCTCACTGTCCTAGTCTGGTAAGGCTTTTTGACGGGCTGAGGGTAAGGCAGAAGTAACCCTTTGAAGTGGTTCCATTCCCCCCCTTTTAAAATATTGTTGACAGTATTACAGATGTCCCCCATTTCCCCCCTTTGCCCCCCTCTA